AATTCTGGGAGTTGAAGTCCACACGTCTTCAAGCGGCCAAGGTTGAGAAACACTGATCTAATACAATAATAGCAGCAGCTCCAAAGGATTTCTACTGTCCAACACCCTAATAATATTTATAATGACGGTCCTTCTGGAAGAAGTTGGCCGGGTAAGGCAGGATTTGCCATCCAACCTCATTTCATATGATGCCCCAAATCCCGGTCGGCTGTATGTGGGCTTTATTCACACAAGGTGCTTGATCCAACCTTCTCCAACCTGGCGCTGTCCCTTCATGTTGGTTCTGTAACTCCCAGTATTCCCAACCAGCATTTGGGAAGGTGACAGTTTCTGTCCGCAGAGGGTCTTCAGTGGTCAAGGATTAGGCTAGTGTGTTCCACCCAACTGGTTCTTCGCTCAGCACCCTGATCCCAAACCCCTTGACCATATTTTATCCCAATTTATTTTGCAGTCCAAACTGGACAGTCTGATCTACCTCTGAATAAAGCGTCTAAACTTTCCACAATAATAATGTTCTTAGATATAGGTTTACTCAGAAAACCAACCTAAAATTTTCCATTTTTTAAAAATTAAGGTGATTTTAAGATTAGATACAGGTATTAAAATGATTTGTCTCTATTCCCTAAATGTCCAGAAAGCCTAAACATTTTAATGTAAAGAATGGTCCACCCGTTAAGATTGAATGGAATAATGGTTAGTTTAATAAAGTTGTGGTGTTGAGCATAGCACTTTAAGCTCCTGAATGACAAGCAGGATATAAATCAAATAAATAGATAAATGCTTGCATAGTAAAGTGTTTTTAATGGACCACACTCTTTGTAAATCAAGTCATAATGAGGCTGTGTCCTCGCAATATGCTTATGAATTGCTTAATCATGTTTTATGGAATAAACTACAATTGTTTGGGTTCACAAAACACTAATCATGACTCATAATTTACAGGTCACCATGCAAGCCTACAAACAAGCAAACCGCCTTTTTGATTTAGGGCGTTATATGAATCGTAGTTGATTCATCTGGTTGAAGCCATCATGATGTTACATGCGTTACGACATCATTGCATACATGATGTGAATTCTGTAATTTACGCATTGGCACAGGCACACACAATCTCACTTGCCTCTCCTGTGGACACAGTGATATGAACCTAACCGTATTGTGGTGCCCAGCTTAGACTTGATAAAAATAACAACCACACGTGGCTGGGTTCATGCAAAACATGAAATGATGGACTTTTACAAGCCACAGTGGCTGGATTCACATATAAAACTGCCAGATCCATACCAAACAAGTCACATTTTGATGAAGGGCAATGTGTGAATTGATTTTTGGGGGGGATAAAGTTTTTTTAAAGACAATTCTGGGAAGCAGGATTGTCAAATTAAGTGCTAATTGTCCTGTTTTTCCTTTCTAGAGTGTCAAACATTTTTGCATATCACTTATCCACTGAAGATATCATCCAACTCCTCCGACAATTATATGGGTGATGATGATGAGGTACTGGGGATTTTAAAATACAAATGTTTGAACATTTATATGATAGAACGAACATTTTATCTTAAATTGAGTTGATTTGAATTGGCATGAAGTGGATTTCATTCAAAAGGAAAATAGATTGGGACCAAAGTGAGCGTATGTTAGGGGGCCATAGATGGGGGGCAGATGATGAATTGTGCACGCTGCAGTTTACATGCCTGTGTCAGTTACGTTTGTGTAAATCTGGAAGGGTGGCATTTACATGATGGCATCAATGCGGACATGTCATTTTGGTGTCAGCATGGTTTGCTGTGGACGTGGCTGATGACAGGAAATAAAAATAAAGTCTTTATTAAGATTCTCAGTAAACTTTTTTCATTAAGTTTTGAATGAGAAAAATTGATTCATGGTATGACAAGGAATTGGATCAAACCCAAAGTCCTTTACATGCTCGAATTCCAATTTCAAAACCATTCAGAATCATGGAATCCATCCAGCAGATGATATTTCATGAACTTTCAAGGAGCGAAGAACATTTCTTCTTAATTCTGAAGGCCTGCTTTGCAGGGATGTCCACAGGGTATGGTCAAAAAAGTCAAGATGGCAGCTGGGACAGTGAGATTAAGCTCCACCCATTTTATATGTGCAATGCACATAAGCCATACTCTGAGGACACCCCTGCCTGTCTGAATAGGCTTATCACGTCAACAAGAACTCTTTCGGTTGTTTCCATTTTATTAAGGAGGAATCGTGTTTTTGCCTCTGCTCACAGAAAGATGTGGGCGGCAAATGGTGTACAGGACAGATTTGTCCCATGTTCAAATCTAGATGGGAGGCACTTGGTCTTTGAGACCATGATAAAAAGTTGGCAGAGCAAATAATTGGATCTGTTGTTGTGAAAAAAAACCTGTGGAGTTAACTTGTATGACATGAACTATGCTATTTGCAAGAAGATTGCTGGCACTCTTGAAAATGCATTTTCATCAATTTGGCTTAATCTGTCTGTAAGTCCCTGATGGGAAGATCACTAAATTGCATCGTAACTAAACTAAACAGTGGTTTTCGCTTACTCACCTAAGAGATTAAAAGCATCTCAGGATGACTACACATAAATAAAAGTGTTCACAAACAAGGACATCAAGGATTAAATTCACGGAGGGGTTTAATGCTATTTTTTAAGGTTAAATTGATTTTTGAAATAAATGTTTATTGTGTATTTCAATTCTGAATCCTTTCTGGTTTAATGCCTTTCAAATTTCCTTGGTTTCTGTAAAACGGCAGATCTTTCTTTCAGTTTCTTCTTCCATTTTGCTTCAATTGACTGTTTAAATTCTGCATTACACTGTGGTTTGTTTAACCATGCTCTATTGAATAAACCACCGTTAGATAGCTACATAAGACATGTTACACCAAAAGAGTGGTGTCTGCAGGAAGGGCCCAAAAAAGTCAAGATGGGGGCTGCAACCATATGGTTGAATCCCCACTTTGTGAGCAAATCTCTTGGTAGTACACAACCCTTTCAGTCTTTTGCCAGATCCCAACCCTGCAGGGCCACCAAATGGAAACATGATTTGATTTTGCTAGCTTGGTTTACCTTAAGAACATAAGCCAGTGTTTCTCAACCTTGGAAACTTGAAGATGTGTGGACTTCAACTCCCAGAATTCC